GGGGCTGGGGATGTGGCTCAAGCGGTAGCGCGCTCGCCTGGCATGCGTGCGGCCCGGGTTCGATCCTCAGCACCCCCTACCAACAAAGATGTTGTGTCCGCCGAGAACTAAAAAAATAAATATTAAAAATTCTCTCTTTCTCTCTCACTCTCTCTCCTCTCTCACTCTCTCTTTAAAAAAAAAAAAAATTCAAATTTGAAAAGAAAAACAAACTTTTGAAAGAGGCTAAGAGCAGCCCTGTTTACAAATGGTGACAAACTGTTAAAACTCCAAACACTCAAGATCTGCTTGGGGAGTGCATGCCTGCTTCTCCTGGGCAGGTTTCTCTTTCCTCTGCTCCTAAGAGGCTGAGTGTTCCCCTCTGGTGGCACTTATGGTAGCGTACTTCCTGGCTTGTCTGCAGGCTGTCTGACATTTGGGGGTAGGAAGACCATCTCCTCCTATTCATCTCTCAGCTCCTAACCGTCCACAGAGTACTAGCATGTATTATCCCATGAGGTGAAAACTAAGTAAATTATCACTATATTACCGTGATGAAATTCTAGGTAGTTTTAAAAGTGGTAGGCATACATTACACTTTGAATATAAATAAAATAATTTCAAATAAAAAATATAGATCCAGATTAATATGAATACAGATTATTATGCACAAATATTTTTATGTAAACTAAAGAAACTAATGAAAACCTAATTGGAGGAGCTTTAACACCATTTTTACATAAAATATTTAATTCTCAATTTTCAGTAAACTAAAAAGTTAAATCACATTTTTAATTTGAAACTAAACTTGGACCAGTCTTTCTTCAGCTGCTGGAAGGTGATGGATGCCAGCTCTGCTCCAGTAGCAGCACTGAGGCCGAGGATTTTGTGTGCTCATTCCTCACCTGGCCTTACTTCCCTAACAGTTTCCTTGTTTAGGAACCTGACATCTAAGACCCCCATTCCCATTCCCTGTGCTCCTGCCAGGCTTTATTTTTCCCCTTAATACTTTCTCCTACCTAACATACTGTAGATTTTATTAATTTTTATGCTTGTCATCCTTTACTAGAGTGTAAAAGAATTGGAAAAGAATTTTTGCCTGGTTTGTTCACTGCTGACTTTCCATAGTCAAGGGTGGTGTTGGATATACAGTACCCAATACATTTCTGTTGAATGAATGAAAGAATTATAAATAAAAATACATATAAATAACAAATATATATATGCGTGTGTATATATATATATATATATATATGTTTATATATATATGTACGTATGTATGTTTATATATGTGTGTGCTTTTTTCGTCCAGTTCCATCTTCCTGCTATTTACCAGACAGTGGGATGCAGTGGTGAGCAAACTGACAAGGTTCCTTCCTTAATGATCTCCTTCAGCGACTAGCATCTGCCATGCACTGGGATAGGTGTTAGGGACAGAAGGACGGATAAGGAAAACAGGGGGCAAGGAAGGTCTCCCTAAAGAAGTGATTGACAAGATGAGCAGGAACTAGGGATTAAGGAATGCTAGGCTGGGGAGGCTGGTGGTAAGCTGACAGAGAAGACCCATATTTCCTAGATGTATTAAATCTATTTCATAAGTTTTAAGAGACTCAGATAATTGGCTAAATAGTCTCACACATGGATACAAAGAATAATAGATATCATCGGATTTATCCTTAACAAATATGTGGGAGACAGAATATGCTTAGCTAATTCTTTCCCTTTGAAATAAGAGACTTTCAGAAAGAGTTCAAGTCAATACCGAGTTCTAACTGAAATGTTTTCTTTTAAAAAAATATAGATTTGTTGAAGAGGGCCATATTCCCTACATAAATGCATTCCAGCATTTTCCAGAAGAGATGAAATTATATGGGCGTGACAAAGGAATTTTTGCTATAGAGGTAAGTTATTTTACTTTTAGTTAGTAATAAGACACAGTGATTTCTCTTCTTTGTCTGACTTAGTATTTGGTGTTGGAGTTTTTTAAATTTCTAAAATCTTGTTTTGTCCAAACATGTAATATTAACTTTAATTTAATGAAGAGTAGGATTATTATTTATTTTTCTTATGTAGCTTGTTTGAAAAAGATGTTTTTTGCTGTTATTTATACATTATGTTGCTTTGAGGAAAGAAAAGAAAGTTAAACCTTATTTCAAGAGGCATTATGTTAATTCTAATAATTTCTAGGCCAACCTGAGTAACTTAGTGAGATCCTATCTCAAAACAAAATTTAAAAATGGATGGAAATTTAGCTCAGAAGTAGAATGCTCCTGGTTTTGATCCCTAGTAGCTCAAATAACACCAAAAACAACCAGCAAAATCATTATTATTATTTTTCTGTGTCACAGTGGATTCTCATTCTCTTATAAATACTATAGTCAGGAAGAGGTCCAGCTTCTAGAGATGATGGAGTAAAGAAGCTGCAAATCTTCTTCCTCAAAAACAACTCAGGTCTTGGGAAATTGACCAGAGGCAAATAATAAATTGAGAAGTATTCATTAAAAACTCTTGAACTTTGGGTAAGAACTGTGAGTCTGTGGTATTATTACTTAAATTTGCTCTCATCTGTCACCCCAACCTTACTCCCAACTAGTGCTTCCAGGAAAGGGTGGCTGTTACTGTAGTACATTAGAAATCAGTATCTGACAGAATTCGAGTAGGCACTCTGTCTGTGGTTGCTGTTACCCATAGTTAACTACAGTCCAATATTAAATGAAAAAAAAAGAAAGAAAACCTCATACATTTTAAATAGCATACCACTTTGAATAATGTGATAAAATCTCAAGCCATCCTGCTTATACCCCCAACCCCCTGCATAGGATGTGAATCCGTTGTACAGTGTACCATAGTATGGCCTACCCACAGGATAGTCACTTAGTAGCCATCTTAATTATCAAATCAACTATTGGAGTATCAGTATGCCAATGCTTGTGTATCAGTATCAGTTTGCCTTACTTAAATGGCCCCAAGTCACGAGTTCAAAGCCAGCCTCAGCAAAAGTGAGGCACTAAGCAACTCCGACACTGTCTTGAAATAAAATACAATAGAGTTGGAGATGTGGTTCAGTGGTCAAGTCCCCCACAAAAAAGACCTCAAAACACAAGAGTCAGGTTGCTGGCAATTCAGTTATACCAAAGAGAAATGCTTCCTTTCATTGAAAAGGTGAAAGTATAATAAGATATTTTGAGCAAGACTGCATTTACATTACTTTCATTACAGTATATCATTCTATTTTATTATTAGTTATTATTAACTTTACTCTGCCTAATTTATAAACTAAACTTAATGACAGGCATGATGTATAGGAAAAACACAATATATATTGAGTTTGGTTCTGTCAAGGGTTTCAAGGCATCTACTGAGGGTCTTAGAACATGACCTCTGTGGTAAGAGGGACTGTTGTAGTTTATGTTGGAAGAAAAGCAAGTTAATAAGAGGGACGCTATCAGTGATTAAAAAGAGGAAATTTGAATGCCAAAGAATTAAGAGAGTTCCTGGCAAATCGGATGTAGCTCTTCAATAGTTTTGTAAAGCGATTGATTCTCTAATTGTGTTGTAAAATCAGAGGCAATGGGAAGGATGCCTGTTTGTTTTTATATGATTTTTGTGAGAATTATGCTGAAGAGAAAATGTTTCATTTATTTTTTGTTATGAGGACTTAGTAGATAATTATAACCTGAATTTTGTTTACTATAAGATGAAATAAACTTGTTTGCTTTCTAATTTTCTCAAAGTCCTTACCAACCCCTTCACTATTTGCGAATAAAATTTGACCTGTTTTTCAAGTGGATTCACTTTGAGTGACTTTTATTGGTATAAGTTACATCCACACCAGTGGATACACTGGACAAAAGGATGATGAGAATAGAGAAGTAGGAAAAGAATGCATGTTGTTATAACAGTCGCATTGTGCTTGGCGCAGTGGCGTGCACCCCTGTAATCCTAGCAGCTCAGAAGGCTGAGGCAGGATTTTTAAGCCAGAAGTGGCTCTACCATAAAATCCTAGCCAAACGTGGGAGCAGTTTCAGTAGATTTGGTAAGCAGGAAGCAAGCTTGGAAGTGGGTTCCCAGGGCTGCTGTCTTTAGTTACATTGTACTTTATACCCAGGAGAGACTGGATGTGCTCTCTACCACTTGACCTGGAGAAAAGAAAAAAAGAAATAATAATAATGCTTCCTATGTTCCAGGTTGGCCTGATTTTACATTCTTTATAACTCATTTATTACTCATGCCATTCCCATGAAATCTGTTGTGTGCATTATTATCATTATTATACCTGATTTACAGATGAGGAATCTAAGACATAGTGAACCTAGGCAGTTTGCCTAGTACTCTTACTCTGAATGTAGTCCACAATGGCTAAGTCAGGCCTTAGTTTGGAGGGAGACAGAATAGAGGGACCATACAAACCATGAAGATTGAATGAGGGGCAGAGCAGGGAGGGAAAAGGAGGGGTAGGACATTGAGCCAAACCAGGGAAGGGCTTTAGACTAGTTAGTAAAACCAACAGGTGGCCCTCGGGCAGAATGGCACCCTGAACCAAGAGGCAGGGGATAGAGGATCAATCTGGAGGGTGGTCCAGGCTGGTAGTGAAGATGGGGAGCTGTCCTGTTTGTGGCATGAGGCCATGCTGGCTAGTTGGAGGGGCCTCCTGAAGTGTGGTTCTTTCTGAAAAGGCAGGTTAGTGTTTCTCAGCTTGGGCAGGGTTGAGATCACTGACTTAAATGACTGAGGACACCGAAGACATCTCTTTTTTTTTTCAGCCACGACTCCAGACCAAATGACTGTCAGAGGTGTGGTTAAATAACTGGACTTGGATGAAATCAGGGAGATAAATAATGAAGTATCAAGTGCTCCTTCCATCTCTGGAGTCCTGCTTGAATCTGAGGGAATAATACAAGTTCTTAGCCTTAGAATGAGCCTTGACTTAAAGCTAATGGTTTGTCATCTTTTTAATGGCATGCCACACTTACTGAACTTCCTGGGCATGCCTTGGACAATACTAAGGGTATCCTATTATAAAATAGGAGGATTTTTATTTCACAACTGAAAATTTTTTTGTGGCTTGTGTCTGAACCTCGTTTAAATATTCCACTAAAAGGGAAGAACATTTGATTCCCTAAATTCTAGATGTGTGCCTTATGTCTTTGTATTTGTTCAGTTTTCCTAGAGTGACCAGTGAAACTGAGTTATCATGTTTGCGTTGGATACCAGTTTTGTCTTGGTTAATAAAAAAAAAATTATTCTCAGGGCCTGGCAAAGTGGTGTACGCCAGTAATCCTGGCTACTTGGGAGACTGAGGTAGGACAATCACAAGTTCAAGGCTAGCCTGAGTGACTTGATGAGATCCTGTCTCAAAATAGGGGGTGTAGCTTAGTGGTTGAATGCTTATGCAGGAGTCAATGAGTTCAATCCCCAGTACTGAAAAATGAAAAAATAAAAATCTCCCTCTCTTATGTGTCTATCCCTGCTTTCTTCCCCTACTTTCTTCCTCCCTCCTCTCCTGTAATTGCCAGCATGTTCTGTATCTCACATCCTGACGGACTGGGGTTTAATGTGATTTTTCACAGCCATTTACTACTCAAGTTATATGGATAATTTTTGCTTTATTAAGGTTATTTGTATGTTTTGCTGCTACCTGACAGTATTTTGTTGTCTTTAATTCCCTAATCAAATTGTATGCTTCTCAGGAATAGATACCCAAATCTTTAATGTAGAATCATGCACTATTAAACATGGAAGGAGCCAGGAGCAGTGATTCACACCTGTAATTCCAGCTACTGGGGAGGCTGAGGCAGGAGGGTTTCAAGTTCAAGGCCAGCTTGGGCAACTTAGCAAGACCCTATCTCAAAATAAAAAATAAGAAAGAGCTAGGGATATAGCTCAGTGGTAGAGCAGCCTTGGATTCAGTCACCAGGTGGATCCCCAACTCTCCCTTACCACACACACACACAATAAAAGACAACTGGAGGGAAATTTGGATTTGGAGATCAGTTAGTCTGCTTTTTTTAATTTTTCCAATAAGGAAACAGACCTAAGAAGAACTATGATTTGAGAATGAATAAATCTGTCCTTCATTAGAAATGTCCTTCATTTTCAGGAGGATTATGTGAGGTAATATATACAAAATGCAGGCGCATCATGGATATTCAAATGATAGCATCTCCCTTCTAGGCCCTAGGATGGAGGAACTTTTCCCCTGAGGTGGGGATTAAGTTGCTTGTAAAAAAAAAATCTATGATTTTTGAAAAGCAAAGGTTTCATTTTAAAATTCTGTTAACTTTTTAATGTGTCCATTTCTAAGTTTTCTCAAAGAAAATTCCAGGAAATCCATGGACATACAAAGGGATGGTATATCTTGCTTCTTATTATGGTATTTTATACTTTGACTTATAAAGGATATTGCTTCCTAAGCCGAATTTATATACTTGGGATTGGCATCTAACTGGCAGTTTCCTTTGTAATTAGGAAATTTAGTTTTACTTTCTGTATACTCACCTAGAAGCTCAAATTTTACTCTGCAAACATAATTATTTTCAAAAATTATTTTCCTTGTTCTTTCAAATACTTATAAATCCATTGTTGCTAAATATTTAAATAATTGCAAGAGTGACTTATAATACACAGAATCAAGAGATTGTTTCTGTAACAGCCATTGTGGCTCACATTTCTCAGTAGCCTAGCTTAATCCTTTAGTAAGATTTATACTTTTCTCTAGTATGGTAAGCAGTACCTGTGGGTATTTTAGTCACATTTATTTTTGGTGATGATTCAGGATTTCAGACTGAAATATTATGTTCTCAGTACTCCATTACATCTAAGCTATTCTCTCACCTTCCTTTAACAATTTGAGACTTAATTTTATAAAATTAAGAGGTAAAATGAGTTATGTTTACTTGCT